AGATCCTGCCCTTCGCTTGGAGTCACAGAGCAGCTTACAGTCTTCTTCCCTTCCTCTTTCCGTACAGACACCCTGTTAGGTAGGTGGGGCTGAGAGAGCTCTTTTCAGAACTGCTCTTGAGAGAACAGCTCTGAGAACTGTGACTGACCCAAAGTGATTCCAGCAGTTGCATCTGGAAAAGTGAGGAATCAAACCTGGTTCTCCCAGATTAGAGTCTGCACTCCTTCTAATGACTCAGTGTGTGAAAGATTTCATGACTGTATGCTGGTGGTTCAAGAGGTTTCAACCAGCCTCTTAGAGCTTAAAGATGTGCCACTGAAAAATTAAGAGTATATCCTTTTTGTGGCTGGGTAACAAAAATGAGGAACACGCATACTGGATGGGGGATACACTTCTGAGTAGCAGTGTGCGTGAACAGGATCTTGGGGTAAGGGTGGACAAAAAATTAAATATGAGCAGCCAGTGTGACGCACCGACAAAAACGGATAACACAGTCTTGGGGTGTATCAACAGAGGCATAACATCCAAATCACAAGATGTCATAGTTCCGCTGTACACTGCATTGGTCAGGCCGCATCTGGAGTATTGTGTGCAGTTCTGGGGGCCTCACTTCAAAAAGGATCTGGACAGAATGGAGTGGGTGCAGAGGAGAGCGACGAGGACGATCGGGGGCCTGGAGACCAAGCCCTATGAGGAAAGGCTGAGGGAACTGGGAATTTTTAGTCTGGAGAAGAGGAGGTGGAGGGGGGACATGCTTGCTCTCTTGAAGAAATTGAAGGGCTGTCACTTAGAGGACTCGCAATAATGGGTTTACATTAAGGGTGGGAAGGTTCAGGCTGGGTATTAGGAAAAACCTTTTGACAGTCAGAGTTGTGCAACAGTGGAATCAGCTGCCTCGGGAGGTGGTGAGCTCCCCCTCACTGGCAGTCTTTAAGCAGCGTCTGGACAAAAACCTATCAGGGATACTGTAGGCTGATCTTGTATTGAGCAGGGGGTTGGACTAGATGGCCTGTAAGGCCCCTTCCAACTTTGTGATTCTATGATTCTATACCTGAAGTTTCTGAATTGATTTTGAGGACAGTGCAACAAAGTCTGAGCCCAAAGGCACCTTTACGACAAACGTTTTATTCTGGGTATAAGCTTTTGTGTGCAGGGACACTCCTATCCGAACAAGAGCTTATACCCAGAATAAAACTTTGTCGGGACTCAGTTTTTGTTCTGCTGCTTCAGATGAACATGGCAACTCACCTGAATCTATGGACAGTGCAATAGAACAGTCTATTCTGGATGACTCCGTGGCGTGGATCCAGGTGGCCACAGATCAGCCGGATCAAGGTAAGGGTTTACCCAGGAATTGCGGCTGATGAAGCAAAGGCCCAGGCGACTAGAGAGACGGTGGCAGCGTGCCCACGACGAAGCTACAAGAGCATCTTATAGGATGTTTATGGGATCCTATGAGATGGCAGTCAAAGCCGTGAAGAGAGAGTTCTACGCGGCTACGGTTGCATCTGCAAGCTCACGCCCGGCAGACCAAATGCTAGAAAACTGGATATTGGCTGTGAGGCGTTTGCGAGCTATTTCGCAGATAAAGTCTTGTCGCTCCGCCATGATCTCCCCGCCACAGTTGAGACAGTGAGTGAGGTCAAGGCCCCATGACCATCTTCTGGTCCTATTCTGGATTATTTCAGTCCACTCAGCCTGGAGGAAGTCGACAGACTGCTCTCACCGGTACACCCAACAACATGCAGCCTTGACCCGTGTCCTTCATGGCTTATTAAAGCTGGCCATGAAGAGTTTTGAGGTGCCCTCAGGGATATTATCAACAAGTCCCTCACTGAGGGACTGTTCCCTGGGGTGCTCAAGGAAGCGATGGTCCGCCCTCTCCTAAAAAACCATCTTTGGACCCGGCCAAATTGGGTAATTATCGGCCGGTCTCAAATTTGCCCTATTTGGGCAAATTGCTGGAGAGAGCGGTGGAGATTCAGTTGCAGAGCTTTATGGATGATACTTCCGTGCTAGACCCTTTCCAGTCGAGCTTTCGTCCAGGCCGTGGGACGGAGACGGCACTCCAGAGGCATCTGGATCAGGGCGGTACTGTTGCTGTTGGACCTGTCAGCGGCGTTCAGCATGGTCGACCATCAGTTACTGATCCACCGCCTTGCCGACACGGGGATTCAGGGGCTTGCCTCGCAGTGGCTTGTCTCTTTTCTCCAAGGAGGGTGGCACTAGGGAATCAGAGGTCCAAGAGGCACCTGCTGACTTGCGGGTTCTTGCAAGGGGTGGTGCTATCCCCAATGTTATTAAACATCTACAGGCGCCCCCTTGCCCAGATTGCCCGGAGGCACAGGCTAGGGTGTCACCAATACGCTGACGACACCCAGCTATATCTGTTGTTGGGCGGTCAGTCTGACTCTACCCGAGATTACTTGGATTGGGCGCTTCAGGACGTGGCGGGCTGGCTCAGACTGAGCTGGTTGAAATTGAATCCGATGAAGACGGAGGTCCTGTGCCCGAGCTGGAGCGGGTCGGGGGTAGGGATCCCACTACCAACCTTCGATGGGGCTCCATTGGTGCCAGCGTGAGGGTCAGGAGTTTGGGAGTGCTCCTGGAAGCTGCCTTAACAATGGAGGCCCGGGTAGCAGCCACTGCCAAGGCAGCCTTTTACCATCTACGGCTGATCAGGCAGCTGGTTCCCTTCCTTGAATGCAACGACCTCGCAACGGTGATCCATGCTATGGTCACCTCAAGACTGGACTATCGCAACGCTCTCTACATGGGGCTGCCCTTGTCCCAAATTCGGAAGCTGCAGCTAGTGCAAAATGCAGCTGCCAGGCTGCTGATGGGTCTCTCTATACGAGAGCACATTTGGCCTGTGCTGAAAGCATTACACTGGCTGCCAACAACATACCGGATTCACTTCAAGGTGCTGGTTTCGACCTTTAAAGACCTATATGGTCGGGGACCTGCCTACCTAAGGGACCGCCTTTCCCCATATATCCCCCAGAGAGCACTGAGGTCAGGGCTGCAAAATTGCCTGACTCTCCATGGTCCAAACGACGTCAGACCGGCCATCACCAGAGCTAGGACCTTCTCAGTGGCGGCTCCAAACTGGTGGGATGAGCTCACTGAAGATATCGGGGCCCTGTGGGACATTTTACAGTTCTGCAGGGCATGTAAAATGGAGCTCTTCCACCAGGCTTTGACTAGGAGCTGCCACTCATGAATGAGCACGAAGAACAATTATGGTTGCTGGTCTGGTTACACCGGATAACTGTACAGCAATCGCCATCTATAGTGATTTGCACTTTACTTGTATACTGTTTTATGTGGAATTTCATGGTACTGCATCTCTGCACTGTGTTTTATTGAATTTTAACTTCTTGTACGCCGCCTTGAGTCTGCCTGTGCAGGCAAGGTGGGATATAAATAGAAAATAATAAATAAATAAATCTCCTTAAATACAAATCTTTAAATTTTCAGCCCACTCACTCACCATGGGGAGAGTTCAAAGAGCCCACAAAGCACAGAAAACACAAAGTCTAATTCCCTTGATACAAACAATAATATCTTTAATGAGCCGTGACTCTTACTTAGCCAAGTTTTGTTTTCCCTGATTCATAAAGAAACACTTAATTTAGGCATGCCAACTACATGGAGGGAAAAACTGTCCCTTTAACAGAGGCTTCATGGGATGCTGTTTATCTTTTCAGATACCCGTTTCCACGCACATTAAGCCTCTGGGAATGAGGGAGGATATTTTTTCCCCTTCGGGCCTCTTATCAAGTCTAATGCAGAGACCTCTCCAAAATAAAGTAAGCAGACAGAAAGAGAATTTTTTCAGTTGGTGCCATAACAGCCCAATCTCTATGGAGGAATTCAAGGAGGGGCTCTGAGGAGGAAGATGTGGGCAGAGCACACCTTGGCCCACGGCTTAGTCCAGGTAGTTTCCAGGACATGCACAGGTGCTGGCGGTGGTGGCGTTCAGAGCAGGAAGAGGGAATCCTACTTCTCCCTCCTGATTCTCTCTGTGAGAATCTAAAGGTGGGGTGGGGAGGAGAACTTGGATTGGGGAATTTGTGCCCCACAACGTTCACCTGGCAACTCCATGGATAGTGGTCCATGTTCACAATACTGGTTCTTGTGGGGGAGGGGGGGTCTGACCCCTTAGAACGTATTGAGTTATTAAGTTAGGGGACACAACCTTTTCCCTTTCAACTCAAATTAATCCTACTCCCAGAATGTTTTGGGTTTCAAAGTGACGAGACCCCGCAAAAGCTCACAGCAGGCTGGACTGGGGAGGGATTAGGGTTTGGAAATGCCTCTCTAGAGCTGCTTGTCAGATAAAAAATTAAGGACGCCGGCTGGTGACACTATGGTTATACCAGTAGGAGGGAGGCTGTGGACATCTGTTACCCTCTCAACTTGTCTATTGCTTCATACAATTTGGGGAAGGAACTGTTTTTGCTGGTTTTGAAGATGCCAGAGCTAGAATGGCAGATAACCTGAAGTAACAAGCTTCACAGAGAAGGGGGGGAAACTAAAAAGGCCTTCGTGTAACTACATTCTCAGCCTTTCTGAACATCCAGTGCTTGGGCATTCAAAGAACCTCATCAGAATCAGCTATGGGAAAGTTTCACCCTTGTATGGATTCTGTGAGGAAACTGAAGATTGGATCTGTGCCTCAACCTCTGCCCACACTCTGAGCATTGAGAAGGTTCCTTCTCTGAGAGGACTCCTCGATGCTAAAGGAGAGCTTAGCTGATTCTTCATCCAGCAGAGCCCTTTACCATTCCTTGCTTTCTTCCCTGTGGGATCTTTCTGAGGTTTTGAACATGGATAAAGCTCTTTCCACATTCTGAGTATTTATAACATTTCTTCCCGGTTAGTGTAAGGTTTCTGTGTAGATTCCAGCGTCTTACAGCAGTTTATATCTTTTCAATACTTTCTATGGTCTGTGATTGTTTTTTATGTGTGAAATAGGAGAAAAACTCTTTTCAGGGCTAAGCAGCTACATTTTTCCCCCTTCTGTGGGTTCTTCGATGCACTTGAAAATTGCCATTCCAACTGAATCTCTTTCCACAGTCTGAGCATTCAAACGATTTCTCCCCTGTGTGGGTTCTTTGATGCAGGTGAAGACTGCTATTGTGACTGAATCTCTTTCTACACTCTGAGCATTCAAAAGGTTTCTCCCCTGTGTGGGTTCTCTGATGCAGTTGAAGATGGTCACTCTGACTGAATCTCTTTCCACACTCTGAGCATTCAAAAGGTTTCTTCCCTGTGTGGGTTCTTTGATGCAGGTGAAGATTGCCATTCCGACTGAATCTCTTTCCACACTCTGACCATTCAAAATGTTTCTCCCCTGTGTAGGTTCTTTGATGATGTTGAAAACTGCTATTGAGACCGGATCTCTTTCCACACTCTGAGCATTCAAAAGGTTTCTCCCCTGTGTGGGTTCTCTGATGCAGTTGAAGATGGCCACTCTGACTGAATCTCTTTCCACACTCTGAGCATTCAAAAGGTTTCTCCCCTGTGTGGGTTCTTTGATGCAGGTGAAGATTGCCATTCCGACTGAATCTCTTTCCACACTCTGAGCATTCAAAAGGTTTCTCCCCTGTTGTCAGCAAGCTGCCAAAGACCTCTGTGTGATGCTTGCTTGGTCCAATTACCCTTCCCCCCCTCTCTTATGTAGTTTTCCATTTGTAATGCTTTGATGGTTTGCCTTGCCTTGTTAGTGATATCTCTGTTTCTCACAGCTTGCTTGGAACCGTAGTAATCAGCAAGGACACAGGTGTGGGGAAGAGGAGGCTTGCAATGTCTATAATGAAGTAGGGCGTGTGAACTGCATAATTGTTTATCTTTTGGGAACAGTTGAATCCCAGGCTTTGACCGCGAATGGAGAAGCCCTCGCTCAGGCGGGAACCAGCATAATTGGTTATTACCCTTTTGAATATGCTTTATTATCTTGTGCGCTAACTGCTGTAGTTATTCTTCTCAGTGATCGTGTTCCAGTTCCTTTCATGGCCTCAATAAAATATAACTTTGCTACAAACGTGTATTGAGTTGAGACCTACGGGGATCGGACACCTGTGTGGGTTCTTTGGTGCTTCTGAAGACTGCTACTCTCACTGAATCTCTTTCCACACTCTGAGCATTCAAAAGGCTTCTCCCCTGTGTGGGTTCTTTGGTGCTTCTGAAGACTGTCACTCCGACTGAATCTCTTTTCACACTCTGAGCATTCAAATGGTTTCTCCCCTGTGTGGGTTCTCTGATGCAGTTTAAGACTGCTACTGTGACTGAATCTCTTTCCACACTCTGAGCATCCAAAACATTTCTCCCCTGTGTGGGTTCTCTGATGCTGCTGAAGATTGCCATTCTGACTGAACCTCTTTCCACACTCTGAGCATTCAAAAGGTTTCTCCCCTGTGTGGGTTCTTTGATGCTTCTGAAGATGGCCACTCTCACTGAATCTCTTTCCACACTCTGAGCATTCAAAAGGTTTCTCCCCTGTGTGGGTTCTCTGATGCTTCCGAAGAGTGCCACTCTCACTGAATCTCTTTCTATTAAGATATCGACATGTACCAATGTTAGAGAAAATTGTTATAAAATGATGTATAGATGGTACATGACACCAAAGAAAATAGCAAATATGAATCAGAACATGTCTAGTAAATGCTGGAAATGTAAGAAGCATGAGGGCTCATTTTACCATATGTGGTGGACATGTGAAAAAGCTGTGGACTTTTGGACAAAAGTCCACAGCGAAATGCAAAAAATATTGAAATCTCCCTTTAAGAAAGCACCTGAGATTCTGCTTTTGGGACTTAAAATGGAAGAACTAAACGTAAAGAAAAAGACTTTATTCTGGTATTTAATAACAACTGCGAGAATGGTTTATGCACAATGTTGGAAACAAGAGAAAATACCAGAAATAGAAGATTGGATACAAAAAGTTCTGTTTATGGCAGAAATGGACAAAATAACAAGAAAACTGAATAATAAAGAAGACCACGAATTCTATGAAGAATGGAACGACTTCAAGACTTACTTAGAAAAAAACTGGGATGTAAAACGAAATTTACTTTGTTTAGATCAATATTAAGTGTAAAATTGTTATCTTGAAAAACATAAGACTTTTGAAACACAGGGGAAATGCATTGTGGGAAGCCATTGGAGGGAAAGGAGGGGGAAGGGAAATTGAATATAAAACTTTATTTTGAACATGTGAAATATACTAGAAAAATAAAAGTTTCTTGACCTAAAAAAAAAAGAATGCAGTCATTGGTTAATAGTAATTGGTTAACTATGAGAACCTCTATCCTGCTGTGTAGCCAGGAGGGAGGGGGGATTAGGAGGGTGTTGACAGCCTCTGGAAAATTTCATCAAGGAGGACTCTTGATTGGGTCGTTAGGACCACCTGACCCTAGGTATAATACACTTGTAGACAAGAGGAAAACCAGGCTAAATTTATGCTCATGCCATGCTAGTATTTTTTTTAAGCCCCCGGAGGGGATTTTTTATTATTATTTTTTATTATTTTTGCAAACTACAAAAAACTACTACAGACAAACAGGGAGGGGAACTACATATACAGGATAAAGAAAAGATACCCACAACTACCTAAAAACCCAAGAGAGGAGATCATCATTGGCTTGGTTACAGTAAAAACGTCCCTTCTTTTAAGCATATAACAAACTGAGTCAAAAATCAAGAATAATTTTTCTTTGTAAAACTCTTACAACTTCACTGTCTAAAGACACTACCCCCAAATCATTCCTTTTCATCATCTTCCAAGGCACAATTCAGAGTCCTTCAGCCTTTACTTCTCTTTTCCCCGTCTTTTCCATAGCTTATAAGAACTTTTTTGGGCAACTGCCACCTTTTCAGATAGAGAGTCCTCTCCGGAAGAGCCAGAGTCCAACTCGCCACTAGACTTGCTGTCCTCTTCTTTTTGTTCATCCTCTGATTTTCCCAGCAGAGACTTTAAAAATTCTTTAGCTTTTATAACAGAGTTAATTTCTTGATATTTTCTTGCTGCATCATGATGAATAGTTTTCTGTAAACCAACTTAGGCTACAGCTGGAATATTTATGCTGCAACAAGAGGTGTCACCAAGTATTGCATGTATTACATAGAACAGTTCGCTTTCCTTGTAATTCTGCAGTTGAACTGCAGCAACGCTGCTGTTCAGTGATGTTTTATTTTTAAATCCTTAACTAACCTTTATTTATTTAAAAGGGGGTCTGCTTAACTTCTGTGCTCTCTTCTCATGAACCCACTGAACTGGGTGCTGCTCAGGTATAAAGAGTAGTGACCCAGGGAGATTGCGGCTTCCAGATCTCAGGATGAGCGGACGTCTGGGATCCCATTCAGGGGGAAGGGTGTGTTGTAAAGGCTGGCAACAGAGAAATGAGGATCCAGCCCCTTCCAGAGTCCTTTTGAGGGCCTCCCATCCCTCCCTTTGCCACAGGCCAGGACACCTTCTCTGGCGTGGGTGATGGCCACAACACTGGCCTCTGTTGCCCCTGGGCAAGAACACACCCAGGAACACATGAGGCTGCCTCCTACTGAATCTGACCCTTCGTCCATTGAAGTCTGTGTTGTCTACTCAGTCCAGCAGGGGCTCTCCGGGGTCTCAGGCAGAGGTCTTTCCCATCACCTCCTATCTGATACTTTTTACTGGAAATGCCGGGGATTGAAACTGGGACCTTCTACATGCCAAGCAGATGCTGTGCCAGGGAGACATAGCTCCCCTCCCCTCTAAGTAGCGGGACAGGCCTCTAAATGGTGAATAGCTATCCAATATTTTGATTCATGCCTCCTCACAATGGCAGCAATTTGCACCTTTGGCACCAAGGAAAGATCCTTACCCAGAAAGGCCACATTCTCATAGTTCTCCAGCATGACTTCCCTGTACAGAGCTCTTTGTCCCGGATCCAGCAGGGCCCATTCTGCCTCAGTGAAATCGATGGACACCTCCTCAAAGGAAAAGGGACGCTGAAAGAAAAAGCAGATTCCCTCCTCAGAGATCACGCCAGGCAGAGATGGCACCCCGGAAGGGAGTAGGTAAAGGATGTAAGGCTCAGGATGGGTAAAGGGAACAGCGTTCAGAGGATCTCTTGCCCAGACAACTCGCAGAAAGTGCAGGAGGAACTGCTCCCCATGAGAAAGGAAGAGGGGGCTGCCCCCCCCTCGTCTCATTGTGGCAGAAAAATCAGTGAGCCTGGGGCATTTCTCTATCACAGCCTGGATTAGCTGAGGCCTCTCAGTTTGGTTTCTCTCCCATAAGACTTTGCAGGCTTAGCTCCTGTCATCTCTCAAGCCTCTCTCTAGCCTGACACTCTGCTCCAAAAAGAACAGTTTTCATTTCTCTAGGTCTACCATGTCACCCTCATACTGTGTCAAAGACTCCTAGTGAGAAGGTTTGTAGCTTCTGACCTGCAACATACTTGCTGAAGCAGGTGGCTGTGCTTTCAATAAGGTCACAATAAAGTTTACACATAACAACCTTTTCTTTCTTTTTTTAAGTCCCCCTGAGGGGAAGTTTTTATTGGATTTTTTCAATAGACTACAAACTATAACCGAAAATTAGGAAAGGGAAACTACAACTAGGGAGAAAGGAAAGTAAACCACTAATAACTAAAACCCCAAGAATAGGAGATCATAACAACAGGTTATATATGCAGGGGCACTATGTTGGAGATCACTGATCTTAAAGGAATGCTTAGTGCTTGCGAAGATCTACATTGCTACTAAATCTTAGGGTTAAACATGTTTTTATGGCTATAATTCACACCCAATAATATATATTCTAACTGAGGAATACGTAAGTCGAAGCAACTGCTGATGTGGTCATACTAGTATGATTTTATATTGACAGTTTTAATGGAATTTTAATGTATTTTTATATATGTTGTTAGCCGCCCTGAGCCTGCCAAATGGCGGGGAGGGCAGGATATAAATGTAAATATAAAAAAATAAAATAAAAAATAAAAACCCCAGAGCATCCCATAGTTAGTCCTTCAGCCTTTATTTTTTCTTATCTTTTCTAATCCTCAATTTTTATGGGCGTTTGGGGGCAGCTGCCCCCTTTTCAGAAAGAGAGTCCTCGTCGGAAGACACCAAGTCCAGTTCACCATCAGATTTGCTGTCATCTTCTTTCTTCTCATCCTCAGATGGCTCCCCGAGCTGCACTCTCAGGAACTTACGTGCTTTGGAAACAGAGTCGATGGAAGCCAGAAGTGGACTACCAATGGCGGTCGCTCTCTCCAATCCTCGGAGGAGCAATTAGCACAGAGGGCTTTTGAGGGTTAGCCTCTTTGACGGCTATTTGCCGGAGAATAGAGGCTTCCCTCCACCCTGACGGTCCGGTTGCTGAGTGGCCTTCGGGAACAAGCTAGTTCGACTGGGGCAAGCGTGAGAGATCGAGCGAAATAACGATGATTGTGAGTGAGGTCTGAAGGAAGACCGACAATGAATGTGAGTTCTGTTTGAGCGGACTGATTGATAAGCAAATCCCCCCCCCCCGTGGGAAAGCGGAGAGCAGGGAGGGACGCCCACCGGCGTAAAGTTTGTGGGGGCTCCGGGGTGCCAGCCCTCCCAAAATTTCCCAGAAGGTGCTAAGCCTCCCCCGGGGGCAACTGGTTCCTCCAGCCAGCCTTGCTCCCAGCTCCCCCACCTTTGAAAGCGGAGGGTTTCCCTAATTCCCTTCCACTTTCCAAGACTGAGTTTGCCGGATGGGTTGGGACTGGGAGGGAGGGAAGTCAGGGCTTGTTTCCTGGAAGCCCTAAGCCCCACCCCCAGCTCCCAGAAGTCCTCAGTTGGGGCTGGTGGAGCTGTAAGCTGCACAGGGTTTTAGTGCATTCAGAGTTCCTGTGCAGAAAGGTAAGGAGCTGGCCTAGGCTCCAGCGAGGGTGGGGAGGGTAGAGAGTGCCCAGGCTGGCTGTGGCTTTTGTAGCTGGTGGAGAGCTTGCCCCTGCGGGCTATGGAGGCTGCAGCCAGTCTGGGGCTTGCCTTGAGCAGCCACATGCCACGTTGTTGTTGTTTCCCCAGCTTGGGAAGGTGGGGAGGGAGAGAGCCAGCTTCCCTGCAAGATCGCTGGCTTGGGGAGGCTGGATGCCTTGAGCAACTCTTGTTGTTTCCCCCCCTCCCTCCTGCAAAGCTTGCCTTGAGCAGCCACGTGGAGGGAGGGGGAGGGAGAGAGCAGGCTTCCCTGTAGGATCGCTGGCTTGGGGAGGCTGGGTGCCTTGTGCAGCCCTTGTTATTTCCCCCCTTCCTGCAAAGCTTGCTTTGCGCAGCCACATGGGGTGCTGGGTGGAGAGGGGGTGGCCCAATACAGGTTGGGAAACTCCTGGAGTGTTGGAGATGGAGCCTGGGGAGGACTGGGACCTCAGTGGGGCACAATGCCATAGAGTCCACCCTCCAGAACATCCATTTTCTTCAGGAAAACTGATCTCTGTAGACTGGAAATGAGCTGTAATTCCAGGGGATCCCCAGGTCCCACCTGGAGGCTGGCATCCCTAGCTCCAG